CATCACCACCCACCGCCAACTCTTGGGCTACTCTTTTACCAACGAATAGTGGGATTGACCGTCACATTATAACGCCCCCACGGCTGAAAGGGCGAGCATGTTTGGTGTGACAGGGATACTATTTATAGGAGAGAAGTTAATGATTCTAAATTGGTATATTACAAAGTACATAACTAAATCAGAAAAACGTTGTGCAAAATACTGGATTTACTAAGCTAATCCTCACCTAATCTCCGGATAGTTATTTATAGAATGTTGCACTATGGAGCCTTTCACATCGAGAATGTAGTTCTGTAGAAACTAGTGACACGTTATTAGGCTTACCACTCTATGGCATAGATCCAGGTACTGTATTGTGATGGTTTGATGTAAACCTGATTCACAGTTATAGAGTTCAAGAGCATCACATTATAACTGGATTGCTTGAGGATTCTGAAGATCTATTGTATCCTTCTTGGATTTACACTTATTATCTCAACAGATTGCCTGCACTTGAAGATACTAATCTATATGATTTTCTAGCTTGGTATGATATTGTGAACAAGCAGCCAAGTGATAATGGTAGATTCTATCTTATGTTTGACCATTTCTTAAAAAAGGGATACAACCACTATAGATATAACCACAACAAGAACCAGAAAAATAGTTCTATACCATATTGTTGTTGTTTAGGCCATGCAGTGAATGCGATAACCTAATTGAAAACTGCTCCAATTAAACCGAGGTTTTATGCTTACAAAAATAGGCTTTTGGATTGTTTGAAATACCATGACCAGTTGTCTTGTTTTCAAGAAACAGGCACTAATATACGTGAACTAATTCAAGAACGTCAAACAGAGATGGAAATGATTGAACAGCAAAGCATCCCTCCTGCTGGTGGTCCATTGTATTATGTTGTTATCGAGGCACACTATGCTCTGGTAGAATTTGAAGATGTCATTCACCATGATGAACAAGTAGATGTGAATGGGATGATTGGAAAGTTGAATGAGGACCAACTGAAGGTGTTCAACAAGGTCAAGACTACCATAGAGGCCAAGGAAATTCTGATCTCGTTTGCAAACAAAATACTTAGGCTTTTTGTTAGTGGGTCTGATGTTTCCGTTGCAGCACCTACAGGTATTGCTGCATTTAATATTAATAGGCTAACTATTCATCGATTGCTGATAATGCCAATGGAACATGGAAAGATACCACAATATCACAATGTTTAAAAATCTTAATGGAGATGTTTTTACAGGCTAAACAATAAGGTGGATTGTCCTAGGTATCTTTGTTCAAAAGTCTCTAAAAAGTTTTCTAACTACAGTTGGCTTTGAAAAAGATATTGTAATAAAGATTGGCTGCAAGGTTATGCTCAGAAGAAACATTGGCTCTTGGACTCGTAAATGGAGCAATAGGAATTGTGTGTTCTGTTAAGTATAGCATAGATCAAACAAGTGTCGTTGATAATATAAATATAAAGTTTATTGATGGTCGTGAACATGAATTGGGGGAAATAAATTCCAAGTACTGGATAAAGATTTTGGTATCCGAGCGCATATGCTGACATCATACACAAGAATTAACTCTGCACAGTGTTGTTACAGACACTGGCAACACAATCTTTACTTGTGGCTAGAGCTATGTGGCAATGTTTAGAGTCACTAGTCTGTCTGATCTTCACTTGATAAGCATAGATCCTCGTTCTATAAAAGCATTGGATTCTACTCTGATGGAATTTGCTTATTTCCAGCATAAATTTCGACCCATGCTCTCATCGTTAGCTTCCTACAAGTAGAGGTCCAAAGCTGTTCCTGACGGACAAGTGGTGTGCAACAAAATCAGCGTTGGTAATTTAGCATCAATCTGGTAATCATGCAGCAGAATCGTTAACGTTTTTACTCCAAAATGGTTTTACCAATAGTGATGGGTTGTCAAGCTATGCTTAATAGCATACTATAGTGCTTTCTATGTAGCAAAGTTGTGCGGAACAAACTTAAGAAAGACTCAAATTGGTCTATTAAACAGTTGATCAAAAACTATGAAAGTGTTGATCACAAAACTTTAGTTTACACTAGTATGTATATTGATCTTAGTGATCCATTTGATGCACTCTGTCAACAATATCCTGTACATTTTCTTCAAGCACTTGTGCACCATACTAGCCCGTCTCTTTGATAAACCGTTGTGTTAGTAGAGAAATTTTGTGCACTTAATATAATAGAATGATTGCTATAGACAAGGAACAAACAGTCATGAATATTTGGGTTCCTGATTCTCAAAAGAGCATAAGAATGGATGCCAAAATAATTATACTTATAATGTTTTATTAGATCACTTCTACCATTGACAAGGACTCATTATCAGTACCTGCACAATGTGCTAAATTGAGTGATGTAGAACTGTCAGTAACCAATAATGCTTTAAAGAAGGTTAGTAGCAATTTTAAAAAGGCATTTTACAGCATCAATTAACTGTGGAAAAGAAGGCACGAACAAAACGAAACTTGGTTGAACCATTCGTTAAATCTATTCCACCTAAAATAAACCACGAAGTACCTGGTGTTGTTACTTTTAAAGCAAAAGGCTCCTTGGATATGAAACGTAAGAGTGAATCTAAAGTAGCTGAGTCCATTATAGCTATTTACAAAAACTGTGAAATGAATGCTGTTGATATGCCCGTTGTATGATTATGTGTTTGTTAGTATTTATAAAAAAAAGCGCCCAAATGACAAGTAACCAATACTTGTGTTATCGTTAATGAAACTGACAAACATGATAACAACATAATTTCAATCCAAGTGTACAGTTTACATTTTTTAGCAATTAATTTTAAACTATTTTTCCAATAATATTGATTGTATTGGCCGATATCAATTCTTTTAGTCGCTGTTCGTATAACAAATATATTTTTTCTTGGCCGCGCTTTTTGGATTAGATAAGTAGTTACCCTACACCTCCTCTCTCGTTTATCATTCTGGAAAGATTATTTTCTTACATTACATTTTTTATTATTCATTCCCTTCCACATGCCCCCCCCCCCCATCCCGGTGGTTCAGCTAAAATTCTAGATTAAATACTTACAACAGTGGAGGGCTCAGTGGGAATCGCAATCCTAGGATATAGGATGCTAATAAGGCTTCCACAATTTTGGGATTTATACAAGAGAACCTCAGGCTTTACTGGATTATATTGATCATTTCCAGACCGGAGAGTTATTAATGATATCCACCGAATCATTTATTTTCGCAGTCGCGATACTAAACCCAATAGCTTGAACATTCTTAACCAATGCAGTTTCTTGATTAAACTTCAAGGCTAATTAGAAAGCTGCCTATATTGAAGTTTAATTGTATATAATCTGGATGCTGAACGAACCTTCTTACTTGATAATAGTTACACACTCAGACGCACTAACAGGTACGATAACACTTTTTATAACAAAGCTATTCGAGCAAATGCTTATAAAGTTATTGATTAATATAGAAAAAATTTCAATAAATAAAAGATTTCCAATCCCGAGCTAGATCTTAGGATTTGAGCCATAAAATCCCTCATTTCAAAAACATTTTCGAGACTGCGATTCTCAGATCAAATATTCTCTTAGCCAACGTGTTCACATTTCTTTATTTGTCATTACGGCTAGTAACCTTAATATATATATATATATATAGAAGAAAAATTATTTTTACTATTGAAACCTATAATTCATGTGTCATATTTGCAGTGGCACAAGGGACGTGGTTCAAACAGCCACTGAATCTTAAGTTACAAATAATCAAATTATAATAGGTGATTGTCCTCGAGGGCCAATAAAAGAAGCTGTTCGAATTTTTGTCGGTTATAGTTAGAGTGCAGTGCATCTTTGGTTGGGAATAACTGTTTAATGATTTTTTTTATTTGGTTCCATCAGAGAGATCTTAGTGAATAAAGACTGCATATCAAAGTTTGCCATGAATAATTGGTTTACATTAGAAAACTTAGATACATCTTTATTAAACAAAGCCTTTCCATTTTCAATGATCACTCAACACTAAATAATAACATGAACTCATCCCCGTTGTTATTAATTTAATCAATTCCAGGTTCTCCGTGTTTATCATTATTATCATTATTTTTTTATATACACCCCCCAGTAGCACAGCAGTATGTCTGCGGACTTACAACGCTAGAATCTTGGTTTCGATACCCGTGGTGGCCAGAGCACCGATAGCCCATTGTGTAGCTTTGTGCTTAACTTCAAACTTATGCTTATTACCTATTAACACAGTAGAATTTTTGGAATGGGAATATAAAGCTTAATTCAGATTTCTTACTTATCTGTTGACACACAAAACTCAATTTCTCGAGAAGTTAATTCACAAGCTTCATACTATTAGCAATTAATATGATACAACTTTGTTACTAATTGATTAACAAACATCCCAAATCACAGTAAAAGACATTTAATCAGATTTCATAAATGTTTTATGATTATAGAGGTCATGATAATTTCTGTAATTAAGAAAGAAACTTTTGCTAAATATTCTACCAGTAATTATGTTATTCCTGGATTTATGTTCTTCAGTGGAGTAAAGACTATCAGCAAGTCCAACAATTATTAATCCAGCCATAACCACAAAGATTCCGAGCCAGTCGTTAATCCTTAACTTTCGATTGAGAAATGCCACAGACATTAATCCAGTAAATATAATAACAGCACCTGTAAATAAGTCGAAAGTCATGGCTATAACCTAGTGTACACAATTTAATAACAACTTCTGTTAAGAAAAAAATAAAGCCACGCTTTTACAACCAAAAGTGTAGAAGGAACACAGATTTTTAACCGTAACAATATGATGGAACGTATAATAAAACGTGCGGTATACATATGTTTAATAACATTAAGATAAATCATTATGAAGAAATGCTTAAATATAATTATGAACACTACATTTAAAATTTGTTAGCGCTATTACTACAAAATAACTAGAATTCTGACAGAAATAATATTTTATCTTGAATATATGTTAGAATATTGAGTTACATTTTAGTTTATTCTTATGCACTACAGGAGATCTTTTGATAATCTGTGGTCAAGTCATAACTGCTACGCAAATGGTGTTTGAAGAAAAGTTTATTACGAAACACAACGTGGCGCCACTGCAGGCAGTCGGTTGGGAGGGTGAGTAACAGGATATTTAAAATATTTGTCTGCATATTTATAAATGTGGAATATAAGTTTGTAACATGATTTCATTAGTTCAGAAGTAACCATACTGTAAAAGAAAAATCGTTCAAATTACAATTAATGCCATACTATGACCAGAAACCTGAATTGTTTTAAATTATTTTTTATTCGTATTTAAAATGATAAAATAATATTATATTTAAAAGAAAATAAAGTATTGAAGGAAACTAGACTACCATTTTTCTGAAGGAAGATCATACTGGCTTTATTTGTGGTTAAAGAACAAAAGGGCCTCTGGTTGTTGTTGTTGTTTTTTTTTATTGTAAAATGAGCCAAAATTCCATTATACCTTTCTATTTGTTTGTTAGGAATTATTTTATAGCATAGCTGATGATATTTTCTGTTTACTGAGAGATAGGTTATAGATTGATCATTCTTCTGTTGTTTATGAAGTAGGTCATAGAATTTATGTTGTTGTTTTTAAATAAGCTACAGAATCTCCGATCATCATCATGTAGGTTGGGAAAGGAAGATCATTAGTTTTTGACCACTATTTTGTTGTTTGTGGAAGGCTAAGTCACTCATTTTGAAATCTTTCTACTGGTATACGATAGACAAAAGTATTTGTATTCTTCACATGAGCATCACATTGCACTCTGACTTGTGTGGGACTGACGTCATTAATTAACAGTACAAATACATTTGTAACGAGTCTGATGCTCTGTGTACAACAGACTTGTACATTTTACTAAAAGGTTGTCGTTGTGTTTAGCTATACATAGTAAACTCGAACATTCCTTCTTCATTACATGATCGGTCCATTGGATCGAACCTCGTCCACGTTCGATTAAGAAACTTTGCCGTGGAAATTTATTCTTCTTTATGATATTTGGAAAGTTAAGTTACATAACTTTTTATGATTTCTATATGGTTCTCACTGGTACGCCATATTCTTATCATCTTTATGTCTGTAATAAAGAAAAACGTATGTAAGGTCAGAATTGCTCTCTGTAATTTGGGAAAGTATGCTATATACCCTTTAACATACTTGTTAGTAATTAAGTAATGATAAACTGTTTGGTTATTTTATTAGGACTCTATACACAAATGTAGAATATACGAAACAAACTAATATTTTAGAATGTCAGTTGATTACTTGTACCTTGAAGTAAGTATGACCGACATTTGTGTAATTTTAAAATCAAATAAATAATTAAAATATAAAATTTGACTCTACACAGTTAAAGTATATTTATTGAAGCCGTCAATGGCCTTCACTTAAAAACATTTCATGTGCTTCAACGTGTCTATGTCATTTTCAGGGATAAGTTAGACTAAGGTTTTAAGATTTATACACTTGTTACAAGTTATGCGATTGTACATCCTACATTAGTTTCAAAGTTACTGCCCAAGTTACAATAGATATAGGTCACGCCATATACCTGTTATATTTTCTGGCACATGGATTTCCCTCATACTGTCGGTTAGGGGCTGCTAAGTGTAATTTCAGAGAATATCAAATTATGGTATGTGTTCTGTGTTTTTCTATGAACTCAGACAGAGTCTGTTGAGAAGAAAGAGTCGAAACATAAATAGTTACAACCACAGTCTTTAACTAACAAACAACAGTCAGAAAAGAAACACAAAACAGTATAAAATTCAAGGGAAGATCGTGTGCTACGTGTGTTGAACTGGCAAGAGAAAGGGAAAAAAACCTTTAAAATTTTATCTTACTAGCTCAGAGTGCACACCCTTTTGAGCTACGTTGAAAATAAAGACACATGGAAAATTTAAAATATAAATTAAAACCCAAAGTTAAATTTACGTTAAATCCAATTGTTTAAACTACACGTTAAGCAAAACCAAATCTAACTTTCTCAAAACCATAAAATAAATTAGGAATAAGTTAAAGTTACTATAAATTTAAGGAAAATGTTAACCAAAAATAGCAGGTATTACAGAAAATACAGTTAAGGAAATGTTGTCATCCAGAAAATGTTACTATAAGCTAAAAAAGAAATCTTACAGGGACAAACCTGGCTATATATAAAGTTTACAACACCACCAACAAAGCCAGGACTGCACCCAACTCATTGAACATGCCCCTTTGTCCACTGTAATATGAGCATAGTGGCATGGTCGCCCTCAGCTATTACCCGATTCATCAACAGAAAAGACAAACATATGTCTTGAAATGTCATATCACAAGCTTTTTTTTGTAAGAAAACATAGTTCATTTTATAGCAACAGTTTCAAATGTTTGGCCAAATACAAATATATATATAATTTACATATATCAGGCATTTCTTCCATTGCAGCCCTTTCAGTAAAAACTTATCAACCTCCTTAAAACAGCTGTAGCGTTTCTTAGGCTAAATGGCATAACTTTAATGTTTCAAAATAATTGAGACTAAAAGCAGTTTTTAGCCCAATCTCATCTTCCAATTCGAATTGCCCAGTACTGAATCACTTGGCACCTTCTCATGCAGAAATTCACCTGTTCTTGACAATGTAAAGGCACCAATATACATTACAGCATTCACCCTGTGGAAATCAACACAGAACCTATTACTGTCAGCTTTTATTTGAATATTCACAACAGGAGATGACCACACACTTACTAAAAACACAATATTTTAATATACATATTATTTCAGCACTGGGAGTGTCCTAGTTCCGCAGGGAAACCAGTTGGAATGGTAGTTTTATTGGACGTTAGTCCCTGATTTCAGTGAGGTGATATGTGGTGTTAGTTTTACTGAATGGTCCAAATGGTCCAACAAACACATCAGCATACTTAGCCAGCAAGCTGCTGAGACTCAACTGCTGAATTGAATCTAGATTTATGCTGAAATAATCATCTAGCACATTTGGGTGTGTTGGAAGTAGAGCATTAATTTTTGGCATGATGCGATGGAAGCAACACCGCCCTACATCTGGTATCAGCTACCTACACTTTGCTTACTGCTCCACTGACCATTTCAGTGAGGAACTGGAATGACATTCGTCCATAAATGCACACATTAGTATTAGGACAGTGTCTGTCGATGGAGAGATCACTATTTGTGCTACTCCTGCATGCTTTTTTGGATAGAAAGCAGTGAGTTTTGTATGTTGGTTCTACTAATGTTTGACATGTCACCAACAAACTGGATATTATCCAGAGTAAACCATGGCAAACCTTGTTTGAATGAAAATATTGAAATTCACTTTGTTCTAGTTTACCTGTTACATAAGTGTAGAATGCTGTGAATTTTGTCAGGGCATCCATACCCTGTATGTTGATAGCAGAAACAAAATATGCTATTAGTATCTCAGCTCTGTGGTTTTGATGTCTCAAGATAAATGTAATGTGTACTGGATTTAAAGTGCTTGTCCATACAATTCCTGTATTCCAGAAACTCAATCACCCTGTTGTGTACTATCTCAGGCATATACCAAGCTCTGCCTAATCCATTCAGGGGAGGGCTGACCGTCATCACTTTGCTTCTGAGCCAATGACCAGACACAACCTACACTTCATGTGTTGTAGCCTGCACTGCTATAGCGCACTGCTTGTTGCCAGTCAGCCCTATTGCAGCTGCTGAGCAGTTTGGTGAGACGGCTGGTTTTGTTAGTCATGCTGCCTGATAATAAAAGAACAGTTTGCCCGGAAATGTCCAATTAACTAACCATGGGCTCTGGCTCTCTTTCCTAGAGTGAACTCGAGGAGGAAGCATTGACTGCATTGATTGTGGTACAAATAGCCTTACTTATTAACAGGTAACCAGCCTGCTTATACCACAAGGGTTTTAAGCATTGGGAGTGGACCAGTTTGGGGTGGAGCTCTTTCATGTTCAGGAAACCTAGTTGGTTAGGACTGCCTGGAATGTGCCAGCTTCTTCCTCTTCTGAGATTGAATCAAAGTGACAAACGTAAACCTCGCTGCTCCTGTTTGGGTGAAAATGTCCAACACCAGATGATGTGTTATTTCTTTACTTGGAAGTTCCTCAATAAATTTATAAATAAGGGTGTCCTTGTGATCCACATCTGCCATTTCGGAATATGCTTGTCCATGCAGGCAGTGTAGAATATCAGGGAAGGCACCTAAGTTAGCTCACTAATTGGAGGTTTGGAGAATTCTGACTATGGAGTATAATGAACTTTACAATCTACAAGTAGGATGGCATAGGAAAAAAGACTCGATACAAAAAGATTCATAAGTTCACAAATGTTTATTCACACAAAACCGGTAATAAGACAATAATCGAATAAACAAGAACAAGTGTTCTGTTATACCAGTGGAACTGGTAATAGATAAGTGAAGACTACTTAAAATAGTTTATCAGTCCATGTACCCTTCCTCCCATTAGTTAAACTAATACATTTAAGCATTCAGAGAAAATAACACGTAATAAATATTAGAATATAAAAAA